TGACCTAAGGTCAGCCAAAAATAGATCCCAGGTCTTTGGGGACAAGCAAATTGTGAGCATCAAGGAGCTCTAAGAGGTGTCACAAGAATGACTTTCTGAACTAGATGGGCTTAGCCCTGAGGTTTGGGGTTGAACCAAACCCACCTCTGACACACCCCAAAGCGTAGTGGGGTGTGTCAGAGGTGAGTTTGTGCCTATCCCCGGTCCCAGTTATTTCCCAGCTGTGGACTACAGGCAAGAGACTTGACGGCACCGGTCTCAGTTTCTTCATCTGCCAGATGGGGAGGTAAGCCCTGTCCAGCACGTGCCAGAGTCTGGTGAGAGTGGGAAGACACAGGGGAGAGAGCTTGGGAGGTCCTGTTGCAGCCAGCACAGCACATAGAACTTCAGAGTCCATCCCCGAGAAGGCAACGTGGAAAGACCCTCTTAGAAATCCTGCAAAAACTCCTTTGTTATTTTAATAAAACAAGACATCTCCCAGAACCCATACCCCTTCTCTTTTTAGTCTTGTCAATTCTGCCTCAATTCAGGCTGGGAGACTGTTGGGTTCAATACTGTCTTCTCCCCTGTTCAGAACCCCAACTTACAAAGCCTCTTTCCTCTCCGGCACGGGGTCAGGTCTCTCCCATCTCCCCACCCCCAACACCTGTTCATTCCACACTCAGCGAACACAGGCTTGGCTGAACAATCTGTGTTCATGCTAAAGCCGCAGAGGTGAATGAGACCTAGGTCCCTGGCCCTGACATTGATCTCTTGGTGTGACTGTCACCTTTCTGGACATTTCTCTCACCCCTGTCCTCTACTCAGGAAGACATTATACTTCTGTCTGTACTTCATCTGAGCCTAAAGAGAACGTTGGCTCCAAGAAAAGGGATTTTCAACCCTAATGAGCACGTGAGAAGTGAACAGGGGCGGGGGTGATTTGAGGAAAGAGTTCCACTCTCTGCCATGTATTTTGTAGATATATACAGTAGATATAGTTTTTAGACAGCTTTCATTGAGGTTTAATTGATATACAAAAACTGCACATATTTAACGTATATGATTTGATGAGTTTGTACCTATGCAAACACCTGCGAAATGACCCACAATCAAGGTAATAGACATCTCCATCACCTCCAAATGCTTTGTTGGTGCTGTCTTTTGTTGTTGTTGTTGTTGTTTGTTTTTGTTGTTGCACTATAAGAACTTAAAATGAAATCTACCATCTTAACAAACATCTGGTTGCACAATATGGTATTAACTATGGGCACTCTGTTGTACATAGATTTTATTCTATTAAACCTCACAATAACTATGGAAGGTAGGTTTTCATTCCCATTTTACAGATGAGAATTCCAAGGCTTAAAGAGGTTAATTTTTTTTCCCAAAGCCATACAGTGAGTTGATAGAAGAGCTGGGATACACATTATAGTTTGTCTGAGTTTTTAAGCCCAGGCTGTTCTTATTACGTTAGATTGTCTCCTCTATTCTGTCTGCCCTGGTGCCCTTCTGGTTGAGCTGGAGTCCTTCAAATGCTCAGGAGGCAAGACTCAGAGGAAGACTTCTGAACAACAATCAGGGGACACTGTGGTCTCAGCTCACACACTCCAGAATGAGAGAGTGATAACAGCACCTGAACTAGATTATCTGCATGGGGTCTGTAACCCAGAGGGTGCCAGGATGGGTCCTGCAATGACTACCTTGCTGAGCTTCCAGGAGCCCTGGGAGATATAGAAGCCTCTGCATGTCGAGTGATAAATGGACTACTTGCTCAAACCCTATCCTGTTGGAGTGCCCAGCGGGAACCCAGACAGGTGTGTGGGAGCAAGAGATGGAAGAAGACAGGGTTTCAGCTACTGGTTTGAAAAAGTCCTGAAGTCCTTGCTCACACATCCAACCTGGAAGCTTTCCTGCTCCCTGCCTCTATCCCCATTCCACACCATGTCTAAGTGATGCCATTGGTCACTTCTTATTCTGCTTATACCTGTTCTTTTTTTACCTGATTTTCCCTAGAAACCAATGAAGAGTGTCCAGTGTACAGTGGTGGAAAGGGAACTGGGTTTGAATCCAGATTCTCATTAGCCAGATGAATGCAAACAAAGGATTTTACTTTTAGGACTCTCAATTTTGTCACCTGGGAAAAATAGAAAATGATACCTAGAGGGACTGTTGGGAGTATCAGATAAGGCAGTGGATGCAAAGGTGTCTAGCATGATGCCTGGGACACAGCAAATACCCACTGAATACTTGGCAGATGAATGAATTAAGGCCCAACAAATGTTAATCACTCCAGACTTCATGGTTGGTGCTGCCCTTACTACTTAGGAAAATGAGTCAGGATCCTCTTAGGTAGGTCTCAGGTATCCAGCTAAAGGTCCCCTGCTGCTGCAGGCATTGTCATCAGAGGGAGGTGACTCGGCCTCTGCTGTGGGCTTCCTTTTTTCCTCTCTCTCTCTCTCTCTCTCTCTGTGTTTGTGTGTGTGTGTGTGTGTGTGTGTGTGTGTGTGTTGGAGGGTTGCGGAGGGAGAGGGAGAGAGAGAATCTTAAGCAGGCGCCATATCCAGTGCAGAACCTGATGTGGGGCTCAATCTCACAATCCTGAGATCATGACCTGAGCCAAAATCAAGAATCAGATGCTCAACTGACTGAGCCACTGAGGCACCCCTTTCCTATGGGCTGCTGCACAAAGAATCTGGGTGGCTACTGGCTTGTCTACCATAGCTTTTGAGGGTAACTAGACCCTTAGTCTTGTCTCTGAGTGTCTGGACTCATGGAGAGAAAAGTGGCACTGTTTATGGAGATAGGTGTGAGAGCCAAGTGAAAGCCCAGCATGTCTCTCCCCTCTCCACTCTTCCTTTTGGCAGAGTTATTTCACTTTCCTTGGAACACTGGCTTGGTAGCCTCCTCTACCTACTTGTGGTAGAGGCAGACATGAAGATGGGTAGGCAAGAAAAGAGTCTGGAGCGCCCCCTCCTGGGGCTGGGTGGCCTAGTAGCTTCTGGCTGATTGACCTGCCAGATTGCGGCTGTCTTCCATCTCCTTGCTGAAATCCTTCCTCTCTAACTGGAGACCACAGGTAGAACCGGGTCTAAGAAAGCTGGGGAGTTGCTGAGCACGCCAACGTCCCAGGGAGGTCCACTGGCAACCCCTGGTCTCTTGGGTAGCCCCTTCCTCTCTGCTCTGCCAATGGAAAGAAGCAGGTGGTCCTACTGCAAACACATCCTACAGTCTGCCTTATAGCTATGCATTTTTCCCTCTTAAGGAATTCTAAATGTTAGCAGGGTCCATATGCTGTAATTCAGAGACATTTAATGTCATTTGTTTAGCATTAAATGATACTTTTTATACTGTAAACTCCATTCTCTGACATCAGACATGTAACCACCTGCCTCAAGCCATTCCTTTCCAGAGTTATTGACCAGGAGAGGATGCCACAGAGCATTCAGCATCCCCCTAGAGAAGGAACCTCTCCCATTTCCTCTGTGACAGATGTTCATTCTGAATGTTTGCATACATCTAGAGATGGGGAGCTCACTGTCTCCCCAGGAAGCCCATCCAATGGCTGGCAACTCTATTCACTAGAAAGTTTCCCCATTTTTTGAGCTGCAATCCATCTTCTTGAAACTACACCCCTGGATTTGGTTCTTACCTTTGGCCACACAGAACACAGGTTTGCTTCTTTGGGACAAGAAGAATGTCCAAGATGGTCTCTCCACTTTTTTAGAGATTGTGATCTCACTTTCCTACCCCCACTCCCTCTCATCTTTCATCTCAGGGATAAACAGCACATCCCCTCCTCCCTTTCCAATGGTAAATGATTTGCAGACGCCTCACCATGTTGATGACATCCCAAAGAACACAGCTCACTTTTACTGCTCACCCTTGCTGACGTTTCCCAGACCCACATCACAACTGCAATGAGGTAGGTATCACTATCACTGTCTTATAGGAGGAAACTGAAATTCAGACAGGTTGAATAACTTGTCCAAGATCACACAGATATTAAAAGACGGAACCAGGGTCTGAATGCAGAGTAAGAAGCCAGAGGTGCCTGGGTTCCAGTCCTTGGTTTTAATCTGCTAGCATACCTAGGACTTGTGAGGCCTGTGATCCAGTTAATGAATGCAGTTTTTATAGTGGGGCCTAAATTTTTCCAACATTATGGAAATGGTCTGACCAGGGAAGCTAGACCTGGACTGTCGCTGTGCCTGACTTATGCAGTCTGCCTCTCTCCCTGCTGCCTCAAGAGATGCTATCATTTCTGAAAGGCTTGCCAGGCTCTTGGCTCATGTTGAGCTGGTTACATTCAGCTCAGCTCCCCAGGACTCTGACACAGGAACTGCTGGAAATTCAGGTCTTGACTGTTCTTCCTTATCCCTGATGACAGAGTCCCTGACAGCAACGTGTGAGTCACACCAAATTTGGGTTGGCTGGTTCGTTCCTGTGGGAGTGGAAGACCTAAATGGAAGGGTGCCAAGAATGTTCAGAGGAACAGAAGAGATGCATAAACCACTTTATTTGTGTTCCTCTGGGCAACAAGAATCCAGAGGAGAAGCTGTATATACAACACAACATTTGTAGCCAACTAACATATGGCTCTTTGTTATTATTTCTGAAAACCAATAAGCAAAGGGAGAATGAGCTTTGCTCTCGATTTTTGCAGCAAACTTCAAAAATTCCCCATCCCAACGCAAAAGAAGGCTTAACTGGAGCTTTGTGCTAACGGCCCTATCTCCCCTGAGCCTCCCTTCCTCTCCCCATCTCCGAATCCTCATTTCCGGGAGGTCATTTTAATTAGCAGGCTGTCATGGTGACTCAGCCTGCCTGCTTCACGGACAGGAAGGGAGCAGACTCCTCTGGACCTATTCATCATACAAAGGCACTTTACTCTTTAGAAAAATGTACAATATTTAGCTCCCCCCACCCCTTGGGAACTGCTACTGCTGTGGTTTTATTTTATCAGCCCTCTGCTTGGCAGCGGGCGGGAGTGGGGAGGGTGGGGGGGTGGCATTCTCCTGTCTTCCGCATCTTCCTCACCTGCAGTCAGCCTTCCCCCACTGCAGAGCATCCATACCCACCTCTTCAGGGTTTGGTCCCTGGTGCCAGGATCTGGAGATCTGAACCACGATGGACCTCTTGGAATGAGTGACCAATACCTTTTGTCTTTGGAGCTAAAGCTTCAATTCAACTACCCAGGTCATTGGGGGAATGCATGCAGCTCAGAGACACAGTGACAGTGTGCCTCCGACCACTGTGATTTCAAAAATTCTGTCCTATTGTTCCCAGCAGCACATTTGTCTTTGGGTTGCAGGTGTCATTGATGTTGTTTTGGATCAGCAAGTATGGACGGTGCATTTCTAGAACTGTGAACGACCATCACCTAGTCTAGAAGGCAACTGCCTATGGTAGCTATACAATGTTGAAAGGTAATGGGACTCCAAAAACACTGACCTGAGATGTGTCAAACCTCTTGAAAGGGACATGTAGCTTGTCCTCTTCCTGTGAGGACCTCTGTGCTGTGGGAAATGGCATCGGTACTTGCTTGGTTTGAGCCTCCTATTTTGTTCCTGAGCCTTAAGCTGAAGTCCCACAATTGATTTTCCATTGGTAAAAGGGAAAATTGATGGTGAGGTTTCTCCTTTTTTCCTTCCCTTTCACTAGCTTACTCATTATCCTGCACCCTTGATCTTGGAAACTAGAGAAGGGTGATTAATTTCATGCCCCAGCAGAAAATGCATGCTCCTGTCTCCACAAGACCTCCCTGGACTCCATGTCCTTAAAAAGAGTTTGAAGGGTCTTTGTGGTTCACAGAGCTCTTCTTGTCCCCTTTGCCGTTGGGGTGGTTGCTGGCTGGGCCCCGCAGGAGTGGGTGCTTGTAAGATGGGGGCTTTTCCTTCCTGCAAAGGGGGGATAACAGAAAGAGAAAAGAAAGACAGCACATATATACAGCAGATTGAAATCATTTCTGTGCCTGTGTATCTCCCCCACTGGACTGCAACAGTCCAGGAGCAGTGGCCTCGTCTTCCTCTTCTCTGTGTCTCAGGAGCCCAGGCCAGAGCCTGGTCCAAAGCAGGCATCATGGCTCAATGAATGACTGGTAGTTGGATGGATGGATACTCTGTATCATTCTGCTTCTGGAAAAAACCTGACTGACTACAGCTCCAACTCTTGCACATTTCCACCTTGATTCTAACCCATCCTCTCCAGTTCATAATGGGATGGGGATGGACACACAGAAGATCCATATCCTGGATGAGCTTGGGACCCCATCCTCTTCTATAACCATCACAGGCTCCAGACTTGCCATTACGTTCCTCAGAATAGCCTAAATATGGCATTTCACAGGGGTCTGTCTCTGCCACGAGCTTGGGTGACCTTGGAAGGTGGAAGTATGTCTGGCTCGTCTCTGAGTCATAGCACCTAGCACCCAATGCCACACCCTAACGCTATTCTTCAATAATTGTCCTCTGTCTGTCCGGCTCACACACTACACTATGAGCTCCTTGTGGACAGGGACCAAGTTTTGTCCATTTTTTGCATTTTTCCCTCATAAAGGGCCTTGTTCATTTATTACGTTGTACCATTCATTCATGTGTTGGACCAAGATTCATTTGCAGTGGGAAGAGTAGGTTTTAGACCCAGAAAGAACTCACCTGAATTTCCAGATTGGCTATGATGAAGGGTGTGATCTTGGGAAAGTTATTTAACTTTTCTGGGCCTTATTTGTAAAATGGGAATAAAACATTCTAATCTTGCAGAGGTGTTGTGAGGTTAAATGAAATAATATAAGTAAATGCCCTTAATGTCCTCCCTTGTCTGCTGTGACTTACAAAGGCATGGTGCTAGATGTTTAGTGGTCCCATGGTCCCTGGACATGATAAAGATGAGTCAGACATTGATGCTTACAGGCTGCTTACAATTTATCAGGGGACACAGTTGCACACAATGACTACACAAAATAATAAAGAATTACAAAGCATGATAGAAAGTGGCAAACACCATAAATACAGAAGCTCTCTTGGGCTTTTTGAATTAGGACTAAAGAAACAACTTCCTGTAACCCATCATGCTCTGACCTTGGAGTACCCATTTTCCTTCATTGTTGATGAGTCATGAATGAGGTGAAGATGTAACAGGTGGCGGCACATAAAAAGGACACATTGCCTTAACATATCTCCCCCACCAGGAGGCCTCCCTGCCTGAAATGCCAGCCTTGCTGAGGGACCTGGCTAACACAGCAAGGCTGTCTGGCATGGGTGAGATACATCTAGACCTTGGTACCCAAAGACACCCTAGAGCACACAAGAGCCCGTGTCCTTCCTGCCTCATTGGCCCTCATAAATGGGGGTTGGGGATGAGCTTTGCAAAGGGTGCCATTCATATGTCACTGAGGGGTGTGGTTCTTAACACCCAAAGGGAGCATGGGAAATCAGATGGCTATGTTTTCATGGGGGTAAAGGAAGGCATACTTCCCCTAGAAAGGCAATCTCAGGTACAAGCGCAGGTGGGGGCAGCCCCAGGTAGATGGGGGGTGTGGCAGAAGGTATACAGTGGACAGGGGGCATGTGAATGTGTAGACACATTGGCAAAGAGCCTCTGTAACTAAAGATGGGGGCAAAGAGAGAGAATGCACCAGAAGACAAATATCCCTTACATCTGGGCTCTGTTCCTCTTCCTACGATGCCTTCCTCCACCTCTCCAGGCTCACTTGAGAAGCAGACTTCCCAGAAAATAAGCTTCTCCCTTCTCAAGACCTCCACAGTACTTTGTACCTTGCCCTCAGCAAACCATTTCTAGGTAGTTCTTTGTCTATTTGTTTTTCTCATGAGAATGTGAATTTAACACATTTGATTTTTCTCTGTAATTCCTGAGCGAAATTCACGCCTGGCATGGAGTAGGTGCTTGAGGAGTGATTGATGGATAGAAATGAACTTTCGTTCTTGTCTTTACTGTCTCCATTGCTCTAAACATCCTGGTCTTGTTATTGCCTCAGACTGCCATTTCAGGCTCCGCTTCCTGCCTTACACCTTACCCCCAACATGAAATACCCTCTGTCCTTTTTCTGTTTCATCCAGCTAAGTTCTACATGTTTTTTTAAAATCAAGCTCAAATGCCACTTCCTCCCTGAAGCCTTCTTGGGATACTCCTGCTGGCTGCCAAATGCTGGTCAGGTGGTGTGGGAGGGGAATTTCTGGTTGTGTCTTGCTTTTCTGTTTGAAAACATGAAGGGGTTGAAGTCAAGAATTCTTAGGGACTCCTTCAGTTCTATCACTCTATAATTCATACATTCGGGGCTTATTCGGGATTTACTCCCTGCTAGGCACTGTGCACTAAAGATCCAGGAGAGACCCAAGAGAGCTTCTTAAGGAGTGACCGGTCTAGTGGAGAGGCTGGATGTGCAAAGAGGCCTTGACAATACTGTATGGGACATACAGTACCACAGGTGTGTGCAAAATGCAGTTAGGAATCCAGCAGAGAGGAAGCAGCTCTATCTCAGGCGGAGAACAGAGACAGTGAAGCAGAGAGGTGTGATGTTTAGACTGGGCTTTGAAAATCATGTAGGAATTCCCCATCTAGAGACAAAATGGGAGAACATTCCAGGAAGAGAAAAAAAGAATGAACAAAGACATAGAGGCATGAAAATATACTTGTTCAGTCTGCTGCATAAGGTGTAAAACTGTAGAAAGCAGATGGGGTGGAGAGTGTGCTCACAGGCAAAGGGGTGTGCTGGGAAATGACGTTCAAGATGTAGGCCAGAACTCTGAATATCAAGAAAAGGAGCTGGAACGTTACCTTGAAGGTAATAGGCAGCCATGGAAGGTTTTTGAGAGCGAGTACAATCTGGTCTGTAGCCGAGCACTTGCATACATTGTTTCTTGTCTTTGCATGTATTCATGCCTTTCTCCTCTGTGTTCTGGGCTCCCGATGGGCAGGGGCTCTCTATGTCCCCCAGCGCCCGGTGCATGGCTTGGCACATGGTGGGCTCCAGCGTGTTGAGCAGATGATCATTCCCATCCTCCACCAAACACATCACAGCCCCACCATGGAGCCTGCCCTCCCAGCCCATGGATGAGCCTGAGCCCACTTCACACTCAGAGACCAGCCCACCTTCCATGCTCACGCTCTATTTCCTCACAGAGGCTCACCTCGCCTATTCATTTATCCTAATTTTCATCTACCTTGATGGGACCTTTTGAACTTTAGCCCTATGGCTATGTCACTGTGGTCTAGATAAGTGTGGGGTCTCAGCTTTGGACATCAACAACAGGTCCCTGAACCTGTGTTCTTGGGCGCACATTGCTGGCCCTCCCCAGGGACCCTCTCCGAAGGGCAGCCTGGTACCCAACAGGCTCCCACCAGCACCTGAGTGGAAACTGACATATTATAATTATCCACAAAGATGAAAGAAAGAAAAGATTAATTTAGAGTCAAAACATGTAATTTTCCTTTAAAACCAGAACTACTCTTTCACTTATGTTATTTGATGCTTGGGTGGAAAATAATACAAACAAAGGGGATGTATTCAAGTCCTAAATCAGAGCCTTGCGTCCTCCTGGGAATTCATTTTTCAAGAGTTGCTGACCAGCTGAGAGCTAAGTGATATTCATAGTTGGTGAGACAGAGGTGTGGGGATGGAGAGGGAGTTTGTTTAGTTTTTCTTAATTTAAGGGTGGGTGCATTTATCTCAAGTCCTCAAGGCTATGCACTTTGAGGAATGAGCTCTCCAGCTCTTTTCTAAAGAGGCTCTGAAGGGCGATGAGGCCCCATGAACAGTAGCACTGGGGGCCCTGAGAGCTCCCTGCAGCCTTTCCACCCAGCTTCAGGGTCCCGCCTCCTGCCCATCTAGAGGAACTCTGCTCATCCACGCTTGGGCTTAGTCCTGGCTGCGACCAATGTTGTGTGTTCCCTGGGCCTCGACTTCCTCATCCATGTTGGGAAGAGGGGCCCGCGCCATTGCTAGTCTCCCTGAGGGTCCGCACCATTTCACTGAAAGTCCAACAAGCTAGGAAAAGGTCTGAAGGATCCATATAGTTTAATTCAGGCTGACAGAGGACCTGAGAGAGACCATCCCCAAATTAACTTGTAAATGAGATTTTAAGAATGCTTTCGAGCATTATAAAGCTTTAAATTTTTAAGAACTTGAACCAATCAAGAATGACTTCTAAGAATGAACTGAGCCCTTCTCTAGGGGTGAGCTCCTCAAAGGCAGGGCCATGCCCTGATCACTTACTCAGCCTAGCAGGAGCACCTCCCTCCCTCCAGGGGCCTGGCCTGAAGTGCTGGTTTTCCTAAATGGAGAAAGGGAGGGAGGGAGGGAGGGAGGGATGGATACAGGTATGTATGCTCAGTACAGTCTAGGCACTTGGGAGCAGAGAAGAAGCCGACATGATCCTCCTTAAAGGTGTTTTTAATCCACCCAGAATGGGGGAGGGTGGGCACAAAGACACTGCATGATGAGTCAGAATATATTATTTTGCAGGCTCTGTGGAGACTTGGGCCTCACGGCATGGTGGAAAGAGGTCCTGAGAGATCATCCAGCCCAGTCAGAGAAATCCAGGGATTTGCCCCAGACCACAATGAGCTGGTTGGAAATCTGGGATTGCAGCCCAGGAAGCAGAGGAGATGGAAACGTTATTGAGCACCTACTGACTGCCAGGCACTATACCCAGCTTGTATCTAATCTTTAAAATCTTTAGAGGTTTTAGTTATTATGCCCACTTTGTAGGTAAGTAAAGAAAGTTTCAAGAGCCTAAGATCCCACGGTTAGCATGAGACTAAGACAGAATTTGAAACCAGACTAATAGAGAGAAAGTCTTCCTGCTTAAGATGGAGCTTAGCTGGACTTCAGTCTAGTTTTGGAATAAAACAAAGCTAGGATCAAATCCTGCCTCTGTCAAAATCTCTTTGACAGGCAATTCTTTTCACCATTCTGAGCTTCCTTTACCTCATTTGTAATGGGGGGGGTATAATATCTATGAGGAATAAATAAGACCATGTACAAAAAGTACTTTGCTCAGTAAGTAACAGTGATTAATAGTGTCTTTGTTAATAACGGGGTATGGAGGAAGGTGCATTAGTGCAAAGGCCCTGAGGCAGCAAAGCACATGGGCAAGTTCATGGGCAAGGTCAATGGGAAGAATGGTCTGGCAGAAGGAAGTTGGACATCATTATGTCCTTTAGGGAGGCTGGATCACTAGAGAGTAGGCAATGAGGCCAAGAGTTAGGGCAGGGCTAGCATACTCTAGGTGCCATTGGAAGTCACTGTCCAAATGCTCACTGGGCTTACTTCCAGGAGGCATGGGAATGCACAGCGCTTTGGTCTCTGGTCTAGCCCTCTGAAAGGATACTCATTCCCTGACCTTCTCTCTTTAGTGACCCAAAAAGCTGATTCCCACAGAAGACGTGATGTGAAATTTCTTAGGGTTGTGTCCTCCCCAGCCCTGAACCTTCACGCCTTGAGGGAAGGGGACTCTCCTGCCTTTGCGGATACATGTATGCCTAACAATGTGCAGGGTGCTTTAACACACATCTCATGATAACTTTCTAGGCAGTGCCATTGTCCCCACTTTACAGATGAGAAAATGGAGAGATCAGAGATCTTATGAGCCTGGATGAAGTAGGAATCCTAGAGGATGAGTTACCAGATGAAGTAGCATATGGAGACACCCAGAATAACTTGACTGCACTTAGTCCCCAGCACCTCCCATCCCTATGGACTACCATGGGAGACCCAGAAATGTGACTGCTGCCATACTGTCTGATGCTGTGATGATACTTTATAGTCACAAAACATGCTGTTGCGCTCTTCTGCCCCATCCACTGGCGGGCAGGACAGGGATTTTCTTTCCCCCACCACAGATGGGAAACTGAGGGCCAGAGAGAAGCCGCTGGAAGCTGTCCCTGAACACAAAGTTAAGTAGGACCCAAATCATACGGCTCTGCTCTGTCACTTACCGAAGCCTCGGCATGGGAATTGCCACTTTCTCGACCAGGGGGTTCAGCCGATAATAATCCAAAAACGTTCTTGCCACGTTCCTTCCCAGCTTCATATCTGCAAGCACATGTGTCAAGGAGCAACTTTGGAAGGAAATGGGGACAGAACGAAAAGAGGGCCAGTAATAACAACAGCAGTAACAGAGACAGTGACACCACTCATCCTTCTAAGCTTTTTGTAGGTCCTGTCTTTTTTGACCTTCACAGAATGTTAGATACTATTATTTAGAGATGAGCAAATTGAGGTGCTGAGAAGCTAAATAATTTGCCAAGGGTCACAGGACTAGGAAGGAGAGGAATCAGGTTATGGGTCTGGGTACTCTTACCTCAAAGCTATGTTCATAGCTTCTAGAATACACTGCGTCCCTTTGGGAATCACTGGGCTTCCACAATCTGGCTTCAGGCAGCTCAGGGTGGAAACAGATAAGCAAGACCCAAGGTCAAGAGACCCTTTGTTGTGTGTAGACTAGGGTCTGTTTGACTCTTTGGGAACAGTCATCTATTTTGGTAATCCCAGAGGGGACAATGGTAAAATCCTCTCACCAGTGTCCCTGTTCTACCTTGAAGTCTACAGATCATGAATCCTTAGGGCAAGGATTCTTGACCTGTTAAAGTATGATCTCCCCAGAGAAGGAGAAAGGGCCAGTTTTCTGTATCAACCATTGGCACTTTAGTACAAATTGGCAGACCAATCATCTATTCAACAACAGAGAGTACTTGCTCTGTGCATTATAGCTGACATCTCTGGGCCTTCACATGAGCTATCCTCTCTGCTTGAAGTGCCTTCCCACCTCCCTTGGCTAATTTTTGCTCATCAATTCTCCAGTTAGGTGATACCCCTTTAGCAAAGCCTTCCATGATTCTACTCTCCCCAGGGCTGTGATGGGTGCTCTGGTTCTATGCTTCCATGACTTCTAAACTGACTTCATTGAAAGCCTTTCTCTCTTCTCTCCTATCCCTCAGCTCTGAACATCCTAACTGTCACTGTTGAGGAGCCTCCTCATTCTTGAGTTTGCCCACATCACTCCCCTGCTGTCCCTCTAGGAAAGGCCAACATCACCTGTCCCCTGGATTACTGTCATTCTCCTAATGGGTCTCCCTGCCACAGACTTTCCTGCCTCAACTCCATTTCCTACAACAGTCAGAGGGATGCTATAAAATATAGAGCTAACCCCTGCATCCAACTGAGTAAAACTCCCAAGTGGCTCCCAGTTGCCTTTAAAGTTCAAATTTTGGAACTTGATTTCCAAGGTCCTTCCTCCCTGGGCCCCTGCTTGGTTTCTCAGTTTTGTGTTGTGGTCTCCCCCTTTTCATTGCCCTTGGTCTTCACACTCCAACAACTGAACCTCTTTTGCCTCCGGGCCTTTGCCCACACCCTCCCATCTTTCCAGGTCATGCTTCCTCCCTGAGCATGTCTTACGGGCTGACTTCTTCTTCTTTGTCCCCAGACACCTCAGTTTCATTGTCACATCAGGGGATAGGTCTCAGCCACCACTCCATCCAGGGTCACAGAGCTGGACTTGCGCTTGTGGAATGGTCAAAGGAGTTTTCACCACTGTCTTCAAGACTGCCCCGAGCTGGGGCTGGACATGGCTCAGGACACGGAAATGAGCATCTCTGGAGCATCTCCTATGTTCCTGGCATGGCATGGCGCCGGTACTTTACTTTGTATACATTTGTATGCAAATATATACAAAGTATAAAAATGTACAAATGTATACATTTATATACAAATGTATTCAAACAATCCAGTGAGGAACGCATTTTAATCTCCTTTGGCTTGGGGAGACTGAGGAATTTATCCCAGGCTGCCTGGCCGGCAAAGGTAGAGCTGGGACTCCGACTCAGGAACGTCTGACTCCAGAGCAGTGAATGTTCCACCACTCTGGGCTGTTTCTCAACACGAAGGCACCTTTTCTGTCAAGGGCTGAGTCATTCCAGGCCAGTGCCTGGTGGGAGAAGGAAAAACACCAGACAAGTTGTTTATGACAGTGAGACGCGCTGCAGGCTCACCGTGCTCTCCAGCTGCCACCTGCTTTCTTCCTCTGGATGTGACTGACCTTCCCTGTCCTCCTCCTTAAAAAGTTCACAGGCTGGCATTGGGCATGGCCTCTCTGCCCAGCAGACCCTGGTCTGCTGCTTTCACCCAGCCAGGCTCCAATCAGCTCAGGGAAACTGCATCGCCACTGTGTGTGCTCACAGTAAGAGTGAAGGGGCCACACGGAAAAGGACAGGTCCCCTCAACTGGCTCAAAAGGCATGGCAGAAGTTTTGGAATCCTGGCCCTGCCACATTTTATGTATGGCACCTTGTATTTTCCAAAAATGTCTCCCGTGTTATTCTAGGATATGACCTTGACCGCCCTTCTATGGGGAGCTGTGGTCCCTATCTCCTCCCCTTGAATCTGGGTGGGCTTGTGACTCACTTGTAACTACAAGAATGGCAGAACTGGTCAGAGGGACCTGGCAGGACTTCCGAGGCAAGGTCAGCAAAGGAGTTGTCACTTGCCCTTCGATTGCTAGAATACTCCAGCTGGTGTCCTGCAGCTCCATGAAAGCAGTCTAGCTGCCCTGAGGCTGCCCTGCCAGGGGGAAGCCCAGAGGGGCCCACGGAGGTGGAGGTGGAGGCCCAGCCACTATGTGGAGACGCGAGGAAGGAGAGACTCCCTCCAGCCCACGGCACCTCCACCAATCTCTGAAAGTCCCATAAGCTGGAACTGTCTTCTTCCGCATATTCTTATGGGGCTCACTGATCTGTTTCTCACAGAGGGCAGGAACAGACAGCAGAGGGGATCAGAACCCCCGAATCAGAGAAGCGGGGGAGCGTGTCCAGGATGGGGTGAAACCCAGACTGATTTGGCCACTTCTGCTCAGAGCTGTTTGAACTAAAGGGCGGGTGTCAGGAGTTCTAGTACTTCCCGGGACACTTCAACAGGTAAGGAAGGTTTGGGCACATGCTGTTCATTCTCTCTCACTCGTTCATTCATTCATTTACTCACTCCATTCATTCATTCATTCATTCATTCATTCAAACATTCCCTGGGCTCCTCCCATGTGTATACTGGGAGGCACAGTGACAGGGATTGGGGTTAGAGACAGAGAAATTAGAAAAGGACAGTTGACAGTGTAGAGGAGGAAGCTAGCATGTCCCAACTATGTCACCAGACAGGCGGCTGCACTGGTCACCTTCACAAAAGCAACTCTTTATTTTTGAGCTTACCCCGAGCGCCGCACAGTGTAGTTACTCTTGCCAGTCCCCAACATAACCCTGCAAAAGCAAAGTACAATTCCACATGTATTTTGCAGAAGAGGAAACTGTAAAGAGGAAAACTTGCATAAATGACCTGGAGCCCTGTGGCTTGAAAGTGATGGAGGTAGCTTGGGAACGGAGTGCCTTTTACCACTGTGCATATGGTTTCTCCTCTCTGGATTGTGATCATACATGTAAACTCTAAGCTCTGTGGATGTGTCAGAGGTTGAATTCCTACTGGGGAATTGTAAAAGGCTTCATGGAAGTGGATGTATAACAAAGATGTGAAGGTCAAGGACCAATCACAAAGGGGAGGAAGAGAGAGATGACATCAGTAGAAGCATGGAGTGGGGTGGGGACATATGACCCTGGGCCATAAATGAGATTGAGAAGGGCCCATGGGCCCAGCCCACCTCAGGATAGTGTGAAAGTTGGGGCTGCACAGGTAGGCTGCAGACTGATCAGTGAAGGCTTTGAATGCCAAATTAAGGCATTAAACTTCTATTCTGTAGGCAATAAAAAATATTTGATGTGATAATCTATGGTGGTATTTGTCCATTCAATATGTATTTATTGATCATCTGTTATGTTTAAGTTCTCTGGAAGGCTCAGAGTATACTGTGGTAAAATAATGATGATGATGATGATGATGATGATGATGATGATGATGATGATGAAACAAAAAACTAACCAAGAAAATGGTTCTTAAGTCTAGAAGTGGAGACATATAACAAAGCAATAAAAACCTTCATGAATATATAATTGCAATTGAACTAGTGTAGGATGAAAGTGCACAGGATCTGTGAGAGAGGTGATGGGGGTGCTGCTTCAGATAGGGCACGTGGGCAGGCCTTCCTGAGGAGAGGCAGAGCCAAGGAAGGGCAGTGGGAAGGGTTCTTGGGTATGAGAGAGGGTCAGAAAGGGGGCTGGCGCGGAGGCACAGGCAAGAGTGAGATCATGTGGAGCCTTATACTGGGTCATCTGAAGGAGTCTGGATTTTCTAAGTGGATGGAAAGCTGCTGAAGAATTTTAAGCAGGAAAATGAGACTGTCTGATTTATCATTTTAAAAGGTCATTGCTGTACTAAAAATAAGGAAGCAAGAGTAAAAGCAGGCATATTGGCCAGGAGACTACTGCAGGGGTCCCGGAGAGAGATGGGGGAGGGGGGTGGGATGGTCTGGACCAGGACAGAGGCAGTAGAGATGGGAAGATATGTCTTGGGGCAGGAACTGGCAGGTCAGCCGTGGGGCCTGAGGAGAGAAAGGAATGAAGGGCAACCTCCTGCATGTTTAGCCTGAGCAGCTGGGCACATGGGGTGCCATGATTGGGAATGCAGAAGTCTGGGGGTGGTGGCACAACACAGGGTGAGGGGAGAGACTAGGAGTTCATTTGGAGTTGGAGATGACAATGAGACATTAAGCATCTAGGTCCTAAATCAGAAATAGGGAAAGAATCAGATCATGGAAATGGTTTCTGAGCTACCAGACCTTTGGGATTACTCATGCTGCAGGTCTTGCTGACTGTATGGTATGTTCCACTCAGCACAGCTCTCCACCTCTTGTTCCCACTCTCAGAGAAGACCCATTCTTGAGTGTCCCAAGGTGGCTTGGGGAGTGGCAATGACTGCAGGACCCTCTATTCTCTGGTCTTGGGGCCTGGGATCTGGTCCATTGAATGAGCACAATTCAGGGGGAATTCAAGAGACCAACCTGGTTTCAGCCAATAGCTTGCCATGTGACCTTGGCCGTTTCCCTTCTCTGAGCCTACCTTCTCTCTGGGTAAAAAGTAGAGTCCCTCAAGTCCTATCCAG